AATAATAACTCCACCTCCAGATAGAGTTACTATACCACTGAATTACAGTTATTAATAATAACTCCACCTTAATAATAACTTCACCTCCAGTTAGAGTTACTATAGCACAGAGTCAGGGTTACTATAGCACTGAGTCAGGGTTACTATAGCACAGAGTCAGGGTTACCGTAGCACTGTACACCAGTAACCTTCTCCACCCAGCGTGGCTTCCAGACGGAGAGAATGAATGCTTTATAGCATGACTTTATATTCACTTAGATAAACACTCAGAGAAGCTGATCTTCACGTGAACACAGTGTAAGACAGAGGGTTTCACTTTCTCAGCCTGCACTCCACACACACACACACACACACACACACTCTCTCTCTCTGTGTTATCCCCTCACCCAGAGAGGCTGATGATCACTCCCTCTGTCTTCACTCATCTTTCACCACTCTGCCCTTCTTCTCTCGCTGTCTTCCATTGATCTCTCTCTCATTGGACTCATCACTCTGCATTCTCTGCAGACAAAGAGCAACCGCAGGATGACAATCACATTAGAGAGCACAATCTATTTATGGCCTTGCCTCATATTTCAACTCCATTCCTTTTCTCTCTCTGTCTCGCTCATACTCTTACACACACACACACACACACACACACCTTCACAGCCTTCGTGTCTTTTTACTCTGTGATAATATAAACGCAGGGATTTTAGCGGTAATGAGTTTTTAATGAAAAATGAATTATTTACACTGGCTGGAGGACTTTAGATAAAAAAGAGAGAGAGAGGAAGAGAGAGAGAGAGAGAGAGAGCAGCAGGTAAAATTAAAGCTGTGTTAAAAAGTCACTGCAGCTCCTGGAGTTCACCACTGTCAGTTAATGCACGTGAAAAAAAAAGAAAGGATAAAAAAGTACAAAAAAAACTGTAACATACGTTTGTTTTTCTGGTTGGTCTGTGAATATGTTGGTTTTAATAATGACTTAGTGTTTAATTAGTGTTTATTTGTGGAGATGATTTGATTTTAACATCAGACAATCATTAATGTTTTTTTTTTTTTTTTTTTTTTTTCGTGACTATAAACAGCCTGGATCTCATAAACTGTACATCAGGACTTTAAGAGTTGATACATTAATTCAATTAATGAAGTTGTGACACTGATCAGATTAAAACTGTCAGGACATTTAAACTCATGGTCTGAATGACAGGCACTTTATATCCCATAATTCCATCATCCATCAACTCACACACACACACATTTTCACACACTGTGGGAAAGTTTTTCAATGAAGAAACTCTCACCGTGTTGATGATGTCATCATTTGGATTAGTCACAAATAAAACGATTCATCATGATTAAGAATTATCATAACTAATTTTCATTAATGGTTATTAATTACCATGTAAATAATCAGATTAAAGATTTTGATAACAAATAAACAACAAAACTATTTCTCTGGCCACAAACTTCTTCACCTCAGCTGTTCCTCATCTTCTCCTTCTTTCCAGTTTTTTTTTTTTTTTTTCCCCCGTTGTGTTTGGTGTGAGTTAAAACTTTTCAGCTGCAGTTCTATGTTGTATGTGCACATGTTTGTGTGTGTGGTTAATAAGTGGGCGCTGATGTGAGGCTGTTCCAGAAATGGCAGTAAAACGCTTCAGCGTGAATACATTTGTCTTGTAAATTGAACTGGGTCGTGTTTTTTTTTTTTTTGCTTGTTTTATGAAAGTGGGTCCTGGTGTTTTAAGTTTGTAAAATAATGTTATGAAGGATTGAGTGTGTGCGTGTCCTTACTGTGGCCCAGACTTAAACAGAACATGTTAAAGCAGGATCTGAAACTGTCCGCCCTCATCACACCTGGGGAATTTAAACTTATTTTTTCTTCCCCAGAGAAAGAAACCCTGAAAACTTCACTTTTCTGTGTTTTAACCTCGGAACCTGTTTGTAAAAGTAGTGATTTATTTTGTTACGTCCGTGTTAAACAGGTCTGATTTAAAAAACAGAAACTGGGGATAAAATAAAGGTTGAATAAAAATGTATTAAAACAAGGCAACTTTTAGTCAGTTGGAGGAACACAATTTTGGCTTTTCTTTATAAAAAAAAAATGTTACAGTGAAGTTCCTGGTAATGAAATCCAAATGTCTAATTCCAAAAAAATAAATATACTAATCTTGCTACGTCCCTAAAAACATAATATATATGGATAAAAAGATTTACATTCTCTTTTGCAACTTAAACTTCCTGTGTCTGCTGCAGTGAAGGAGTTAGTTTGGAGGTTTGAACTCTCTCAGTGGTGAGAAACCTTTTCAAACACAGTTTCATTACGTCACCTTAAATTGATTAATTCAAAATCAAATCAAATCATTCCAACATTTCCATAACAAATACATTTGTTCATTTGACCATAAAAAAACAAAAAACCTCTTTTTTTCCTCATTCGACCCAGTTTTGTGTGTGTGTGTGTGCGGCAGTTACCCACGTTAGCGCTCTCATCCCACTTATTCCAACTAGTATAATCTGGTTAAGAAATGTCGGCCGCTTCAGTCTGATGGACAAAGGCCACGTCAACTCCAGGGAGAAATGCCAGGTGGTGACGGCGGCGCTACGAGAACAGAGTAATGAAGGAATTGATCTGCACTTGGCTGCGAGCACTTGACATTTTAACCAAAGACTCCAACTACCAAAGTGTCCACACACACACACACACACACACAGACACACACACAGACCTATAAACACATCGTACCCTTTTACTGTCCTTCTGTGACCCACGACTTCTTCTCTGGTGTCAAACCAATACTTTCTCTCAAACTTTCATCTTCTGTTCATTCCACCAGCCTGAAGGTTTATGATGCTGGACTATCATGTCTCCACACACACTCACACACACTCACTCACTCACCCCCAGCCGGTGGTCCCGTGGGTCAGCCCATATTAGCTTACTTGTTAATACAGGGACAGCTCAGGATCAATACTTAATCAACAAGTAATGGGATTCCTCACTCAGTCTGTGGGATCTTTCAATAAAGACTGGGATTTGTCTCAGCCAGACACACTCACTCACTCATCACACACACACTCACTCACACACACACACTAACACACACACCATTGACACTGTTCATTCTCTCGCCCCTGGCACTAACCTTAACTTTTACAGGTGTATTCCTCAGCCTTCCTTCCTTCTTCCTTCTTCCTACTCTAATCCGACCGCTGTCTCTCAGTCAGGATTTGGACAAGTGTCCTCACTACAATATTATTAAAACAAAACAAAACAAAAAGGAATACCAGAAACACCAACTAGGTTTTCTTTTCTTACTCCTGTCAAGAAGACTAACTCTGATATCCTGTTATATAATTATATATTTTTCTTTTTTTGTCACTTGGTTTCTTCTTTTCTTCTTCTTCTTCGTCTTCTTCTTCTTCTTCGTCTTCTTCTTCTTCTTCGTCTTCTTCTTCTTCACGCCTGTAGTTATTTAAGAAAAAAAAAGTTTTATCCATCAGACCGATCCATGACTCTGTGTAGCCTAGCAACATGTAATCTACAATGAATCATCGTTGTGTCTACTAGTGTTAGCTTCAGGTTACTGCACTGCAACATGGCCGTCTGAGAGTAACGTAAAAATATATCAATGAACAGTCACTTTAACCCTTTACCACAAACTCCTCATTGAATGTTTTTCAGTAGTCATTCCAGTTGTTACTTCCTGTTTATTACTCACCAAAAACCTGGGTAAAAAAAACTTACATTTTAATGACAGTTTCTTTGTTTACGTTACATTTAGATTATTAAAAAGTCCAACCGAACAATCACAACAAATATGTAATTTTGTAGATTAATTAAGAAAAAAACTTCACAGAGACTCAATGACATCAGAAAGTGACAAATTACGTCTGCCCCCCCCAAACCCCTCTCCCCCAAATAAGTTTTAATGTAATGAAAAACTTTGTCTAATCTATCCAAAAAGAAAAAGAAACCCCACAAATGAAGGAGTGACCTGTTATCCCCCCTAGTGTGTCCTGTAATCTTGAGTGATCCCTGAGATTTATTTCTAATTCTGCTCTCACTGTAAGCTGCTCTGAATAAGCATATCGGCTAAATGTCCTGGAAAAAAGAAGCAGCAGCAGCAGCAGAAGCAGAAAAGCCCTGAAATGTAAATGCACTGTACCAAAAGCTGTACGGCTGTATTAAGTCGAGCAGACTCCGACATGCTGCGGCGTGATAAATCCCTGCAGAGTTGCATGCTAAACAGTTTCAACCCCGACTGCAGCCAGCCATCTCCCTGTAAACAGGCTTTGTGTCACCATTGTCATATCGCAGCGCCATTAATATACATGAGAGGCTGAGAGAGGGAGAGAGAGAGAGACGGAAGCCTCCCTCTCTTTACTCTTTGTTACTATTACTCCTCTGCTCTCTCTCTCTCTCTCTCTCTCTCTCTCCTCCTCCACAGTCTCTCGCTCTCTTCTCCAGAGTCTTTGGTTCTTGAAGTCAAACTTTCTTCGCCGCTCCTCACTTGTCTTTTCTTACGACTCTTATTTTTTAATTAACCTAATTTCAAGAAAAGTTGGTTCAGTTCTCCGAGAGCCTGATACAAAAAGAAAAATAATAACGTAGCGTGGTGGTGAACATGAATCTAAATTGAAAGGCGAAAACACCGGGGCTTCTGTTCCAGTGTCAAACTCCGTTCATTTTGTTAGAAAAAGAAGTGGAATAAGACGGAGGAGGATGGAAGGCAGAGTCGTCTGCATCTACAGGAATATTATACTGTTACTGCAGGAGTTGTGTTCAAATTCAGAGGAAGTCTTTAAATCACAGCCAGGACATTTATAACTCCACTGAAGTCCACTGTCATACGTCTCACCTGCAGGGTTTCTCGTCCGTGTCTCTTCACATAAATTTCCATGTCCAGAAAAAAATTGTTTTGTCCTGTGGGTCTGATTCTAACACCAAACTTTCTTTTAGGGTTTTTGTAAAAGCTTTTTTTTTTATTATTATCTTTTGACAGGCATTAAATAATTCCTTCCAAGAGACAAATATAAACCATAAGGATGTGGACAATATGATAAAAAGAAAAGGTCCAAATTCTTCGTGGCCTGATGGGAGTTCCGCCACCTCGACACGTTGCTTCTTTAGCCTCCAAAAATAGCCAGGGATCTGACTGTGGAACGATCAATCCAGTCAGTTCTCATTTCAATCAGCAGGATCCAGTGAATGAGCAACGATGATTTATTACAGACTGAAGTGAATGATGGACTTCTCGTCTTTTAGGAGTCCTTGGCGCCTGAAGACTCGATGGCAGAGATATCAAAGCTGAGACTGAGGTCTGCTTCTCAGAAGAAACACAAATTCTCTGAAGTCCTGATTCTGACGGTGATGATGACGATGATGACCTGATGAAGGGTGAAGGATGATGGATCAGGTAAAGACCCCAAACATTATTAGTGATTTTGTGCAGACGGATATTTTTGGTATAACAGCAGGGTCAGAAACACCAAACAACTGATGGTGACTAATTTGGTGATAGTGCTCCATGACCGACCGCACCAGTAGACCACAGACATCGCTGCCAGGAAATGCAGGAAGTGAATTCATGAAACAGAAATATCTTCCTGAATGAACTGGTGCCAAAGCTTCGATAAAATTAGAACTGCTGTCGGCCAGATTTCTGGAAGATTTGGGCGGAGCAGATCTGTGTCCGAGCTGCACGGTGGGGCAGCAGTTAACGCTCATCTGCTGCCATGCTGAATGAAGGTTATTGGTTCAAATCCAAGCTCAGATGATGGACTTTCTGCTTTGAGTTCAATAAAGACTCTGGACCGTAGGTTTGACAACGAATATGAAACGACTGCTTGACTCTTAGTTTGAAGTTTGAGACATTTGAACAGTAGTCGGATGTTAGGACGAAAATGACTGAAGAATGTGATGAAAGTGCAGCTCAAAGAAGTGGCCAAAAATGTTAAAAAAAAAAATAAAGTTAGATGACATTAAAAAAAAATACTTTGACAAAAACCACCGTGACTCGACAGCAGCAGAGAAATAATCCAAATCTTTGCACCATATTGGTCAATATTACACAAATGTGGTTCCAGTATTAGTATTAGTAGGATAATTTTTTAAATAGTTAATTATAGGTAATTCTTTTTCCTTTATAAACAGAGACATATGTTTTACTTCAGAGTGATTTCAGTGTCGTTTTCTCAGGCTTCAATCCTCACTCATCTATTTCAAAACTAAATAATGTCTTTACACCACAATTAGAACTCATTTGTCTGTGAGATACTTCAAATTATTCTTGAGATATTAATTCAAATTGCACTGAAAATACACCAAAATGCAACTGAAATATTTTTCCGGCAGCAGTTAGTTTAATTCCCATCAAGCCTTCAGGATCCATGAGTGGTTTTCCTGGGTCTGGTCTTCTCTCTGAGCCTCCACTGTTGTGACAGACTGCAGTGGCAGTACTGCAGTAGTGCAGAGCCATAATTGTATAAGTAGTTATTTATAATTTGTAGAAGTCTTGATCGTCTCCACTCCCCACCCCCCCCCCGTGTTTCCTGGTGTCTAAGATCACTCTGAAGATGCACATATGCTGCAGTTACAGCGACGTGTGTTTCTTTATGCATGACCGATCAAGTATGCGTGCCTGAGTGTTTGCTCGCCTGTGAATTGTTGACACAGAGACATATTGCATTCACTGACAGGCCACGTTAAAAAAAAAAAAAAAAAGAAAATCATATTTAACCGTGACAATCACACGTCATTATAATTTAATTTAATATCACTAACGCAGCCTGCGACACACTGAGTGTCACTGTTGGCTAGGAGCTGCGCTGTAGTGTTTAAATAATAGATTAATATGCTGATGCCAATAATGTGCACGTGTTGTCACTGTCCTACATGCTTCAGCATTTAGGTCAGGCTGTGCTTGGTAATGTTCTTTAATGGGCTGCTGTACACTGAACACGGAGAGAAAGAGAGGAAACGATCAACTCTGAGTGAGATGACCTGGGAAGGTTTGAATGGTTCAAACTCTGGACATTTACAGTGGGACTTAAGCTGCAGGTTAATCCACTGTGGTCATCAACAGACGGCCTGCGGACCGAATGCAGCCCACGGAACCGTCCAATTCAGCCAAAATGGATTTAGAAAATAAACATATGATGTGATTTTAATGTCTTATCCACCAGTTAAAGGTTTCAGGACGGTCGTCATTGTTTCACCTGTAAATCGCAAATCTCAAACACTGAACCCTGCTGATGCTGATGTTGATGTTGATGTTGATCCCTCTCTGCTCTGACCCTGCTCTCCTCCTCACTCTGTGTTTTTATAATTGTGCCGTATCAATGTTTCACCGTGTCGACCATCTGTTATAATCGCCCATAAATATTGCAGCGGCCGCGGCCCTTTAAATGGCACACACACCCCACGGACGTTGACATGCATCGCAGGAGCCGTGTGTGCCAGAGATGCACTCTGTGTGCGTTTACAGTTGGCCCATTGATTTATAATTAACGGCGGGGTTAGTGCTCCAGCACATACACAGCTGGCCTGCTCTCTGGGGCCACAGCAGTCTGTGTGTGTGTGTCTGTGTCTGTGTGTGTCTGTGTGTGTGTGTGTGTCAGTTCTTTATTCGTAAGGATGTTTTTGAGCTTTTTTTCTTCCAGACCAAGGACTGGTTGACAAAGACAAGACATTAGTGTGTGTGTGTGTGTGTGTGTGTGTGTGTGTGTGTGTCTGGACCATTTTTAGTTTTCACGTGTGGTAACACTGTCTGTACTGAGACAGGACTTCATTTCCTGGACTTTGTTGTGGTTATGATTAGAGAGTGACACATTAATAAACTGGTTCTACTGGGCAGTAAAGAAGGAACTGGTGCTTCAATCCAACAGTCACAGGATTAGCAGTTAGTGCTGAGTACTGATGGTTGGGTTTCTCCAGGTAGTAGATAAATGAAAAACAAATCATGGACTGATCATATAAATCTACACTAGTTCAGATCAACGTTGATTTTCCCTAGAAGTCGTTTGTCAAACGTTTGTCCTGTGGTTAATGGGATGGGGAGTGTTTTAACTTTTCATTGTTTTTCTCTTTCCTGGTCATTTCTCTGAGGATTCAGATCAACAACAACTGGTTCTACTGAGGCTGTGCCTAGATTTTAGGTTACAGATTGGGATGGGATTAAAGTTAAAGTAGTCAAAGAAGTAGTCAAAGAAGTACTCTCAGACGACGACTCTGAAACTGAAAACAGAGAGTTTAAGGGAACGACACATTATCATTATTCAAAGGATATATATTTCAATTCTAATTTTTCTGTTAACATTAACAACTAGAACTAAACACAGTCAGTTAGGACGGGGTTTGCATTTTTTTTTTGTCTATATATATGTATATATGATTATTTTTTGGACGTGGTAGGTTTGTTTGACCAAGGCTGGCAGAGATGAGGGATTTTGTGTAACTAAGTGTGAATGCTGCACTCGTGCACGGAGCCGTATGTTCCTGACTTCAGCTGGTTTACTGTCAAGTGTTTTGTTTGCATAAGTGAATGGACATGTCAGGTGTAACCATGGTAACCCAGGTAAAGATCCCTGCAGACCTCAGACACTTCAGTCCCATTGAACGTATTGATTAAACTGTCTATGTGAATTAGATGGACACACACACACACACACACACATACATGTATATACACTAAGAATGTGAGTGACAGGTGCACTGGGTTTGACCAATAGGATGCACTATTGCTTCCATAAAAACACACAAACAAATTTGTTTTTTTTTCATGTCCTCGGTTATGAACAGTTGATCCAACTAAACCAGCACATCATCCAGTTTAACCAGTGGTTGAACTCAGTTCTACCTGAGTTGATGTCATTAATGCTGAACAGCGACTGTTGCCTCTAAACAATGCAAGACCTGCTCATAACAACTAGGACCATAATATTCATTTTTGTTATCCAACATGTGTTCAACAAGCCGGAAGCACCGACAGATTGATTCGTCCCCGGGAAACATATGGTATTGTTTAGTAGAAATTTAATTGACCAAATTAATTGACAATGTTTTTTGATTAAAAAGAAAAGAGGTGAAAAAAATGTCCATTTGAAATGTCACAAGAATGACATGTGATACAAGAATGTGTGTGTGTGTGCGTGCGTGTGTGTGTGTTGTTTTGGTTTAAGAGTCGTTGCATAATTCAAGTCTTAAGCTAATCCACAGCGATGGTTAAAGTGCTCAGTGTCGACCACCGGGGACATGGTGAGCGTGTGTGGCCTTTCTCTCAGGATGTTGGGTTACAGAGACGAGACGAGGAAGTCCACGACACGTCGACCGATATACATCACTGAGCTTCTTTATTATTGGTTCAAATCATTTACAGAGGACAGAGAGAGGTGGGGGGAGGGGGGGGGGCAGTTACAACTTTACTGACGTTAAGGAGGACGCTACGTCCTTGAAGCCACTGTCAAGCTAAGCTAAAGCTAATTTTCTAGTTATATATTTTTCTTGACATTAGTCAGAAATAAAAGTGGGTGTGAAACAAATACATCGACCTGTTGGTAGTTGTCCTGTCGTTTATATATACGAGAGCTGAGTGTTTGTGAAGGGACGATGGGTTTCACTTTTGTTTGAGAAATGTTTGCTTTTCTGCCTGTTTTCTTTCTTCTTTCTTTTGAATGTGGCTTTTACTTCAGAGTATATTTTGTGTCGACTAAAACGGGTTGTTTGCATTGTTTAGATATTGGGAGAAGTAAAAAAAAAACGTGTGTGTTTGAGAGGAGGAAAGCAGTTGTATGATCAATTATGTCTGTGTTTTTGTGTTTTATTTTCAATGGTGGCAAAAAGTGAAATTGTTCATCTTTTCTATCGGTGTTTAAACAGTTTAAGGAGTCACAGAAAACAGGTTCCTTTGTTGTAGAACTGGAAACTTCAAAACAAAAATCAAAACAAAATGTCCAACACATAAAAAACTAAAGACTTGGAAAAGTAGGTGCCAACAAACTGAGAGAACTGTTTTCATGTCGATAAACTCCGTCACCATATGTCCTGAACATATTTGTTTTTATATTTATTTTACACCCCAACTGCTTCAAATGTGACCCACTTACTGAGTTTTTCTCCAGGCACGTTAAAAACCCTCACATTTTTAATCTGCAGTACTTCGGCCAACCTCACGGAGTCCTGTGCTCACTTCCCATTTCCTGGAATCTCTCCACGTGCACCTGTACCTGTGGGTTTGACCTGTTATCACCTGTCACTTACAATGACAGACCGAGGCGCCACCTGGTTGGCCGATGAGGCGTTTGCTGATCATATGACACCTTGTATGTGTCACATTAGCATACAGAATGTATTCACATTCACTCGATCTGTGAACAGATCGAGTGAAACGTGAAACGTCGAGTGTAAAACCAGGTTTTATGAGTGTTTGATGACGTTAAAGTCTGTGTAAGAAGTTTGTCTGGGCCGTGGAGG